AGTTGGCGTTGATATGTGTCCAAAATGTGCAGGGCGAGCATCGGGTGGCGGTGATAAGGGTAAAGCCTGTTGATGGAAGGAAGTGAAGTTGCTTGTGCTGTTGAAAGCGTTGTCGGCACTCATGGCTGACCAGTGAGGAAGCTGAGACTCTGTCAGTGTACCACAGGCAAACATCCTGACAATGCTGATTGTAGTGCTAGCGATGAGCAGCGAAAAGTGATGTGGAATGTCACCTGTAGAAGGTAATATACCTGAACTGCAAAAGGCGACAGCCAATGAGGACGCTAGCTATGACCTCCATGGGAGTTGCCAACTGTGTTATTTTCACCAGTATTTCATGTACATTTAGTGATACTATTATATATATTAATTTGTTACAGAATTGTAATTTCTTGGATTTATGGTTTAGGAGTTATGTTTACTTGTATATAGTATATTACCGATACTATTACATATTCTTTTCAATACAACTTTGTAATATCTAAGAGTTATGGTAGTAATGGCATTTATTTTAAATCAGTATCATAGTTATATCTTATAATTATGTAGGATATATATACAAATTATATAATGATATATATATATTCTAATTATATTATATATATATACTCAGATTATATTATGATATATATATTCAAATTATACCTATAATATATATTCAAAATATATCTATAATATATATTCAAATTATATCTATAATATATGTTCTCATTATATCTTAAGATACAGACCTCTATATCTTATGTACTCTTTAGTTATATCTTATATATATTTATATCTTAATTTACATATTTTTTATCACATCTTGAAAAGCACATTTCTGTTACTTCTTACGATATATATTTCTATTATTTCGACTGACGACGTTTTCGTTGAAATTCCTCCGTTTAATTGAACAATGTGAACAATCATTAAATGGGATACCAACATAATCTCTTGATTGAAAGAAATTCGTTCCGGGTCATAAATCACGGAGCAGTAGACGCAGAATGAAGAATGAATCGCTTTCATGCTCGTCGCACCCACTCCTCGGCCAGCCTCCCGTCACCTTTTTTGTGAGTGACAAGACACACACGTTCGTGTGTCTGTCAATGGTGGATTGGTTGCACGGGATAGGCATTGCAATAAATGGTTGGCGTGGTTGTGGTCACAGGAGTAACCATTACCACCTCAGATGTTTACTTATATATAGTCTGATACAAATCTTCTATTAGCATTAAATATAAAGGAAACCTGCCTTTAATCTTGAATCACATGGGATCAGTATGTGTGACTGCAGCAACAAGCTCGCGACAAGGTGTGAATTAGTTGGCCAAACATAGAGGTCACCACGGGTCACGCGCGCTCGCGTGCTTTACACAGCGACAAATGATGATTGATGATGCATCATAATTAGCCTGGCTTGCTTATCATATATATACATATGCATATATATATGTATATATCCACATATGCATATATATATGTATATATCCACATATGCATATATATATGTATATATCCACATATGCATATATATATATATATATATATATATATATATATATATATATATATATATATTTATATACAAATATATATATGTATATGCACATATATATAGAAAACACTATTATGCCGAGGGTCTTTTTGCTGTATTTCTTCAGGGTGTCATGACTATGACCTCTCTTCCCGTAATCTCTCTCTCTCTCTCTCTCTCTCTTTCTCTCTGTCTATATATATATATAAATGCACATTTAACAAGTTAACAATGGAAAACTACAATATTTTGACAGTGTCACTAAAAGAATATATACTTCAAATTTTCAGATTTGCAAATCACGAAAGATGAGTTGTTGTTTTTATTGGTGACCTGAAGTGACATCACGCGAAGGCCACCGATTCACACCTTGTCGCGAATTCATTCATGTCGGTCACTTAAACGTTTTCCTTGTGCTTGACCTGATTTACAAGAGTTGTTTTAATTATCAGTTCATGCTTTCGACCTCAAATGATTAGCAAATGGGTCTCCTCAATCTCTGAACTAATGATTATACAATGCCTGCATAAAACGTTCTCTCTAATCTCAGTCTCGGTCCTACACACAAACACATTCCACACGCAAAGGACCTCTATTGTGGGGGGTTTCTGAACAACAATGGCGAATGGTGCAAATGTTCCACGCATTACGAGTCTGAGAAGTGTTAATTATAACATAGAAATGTTGCTTGTATAGATTCATAACTGTGCATTTCATTAACGCTAGACATAGATGTTATCATATCATGAAGAAAATAAATCTATGGATATCGTGTGCCGAGTAATTTAGTAACCAAAATGACTTTAAATATTGCACGGCCTTAAATCTTTTAGTTACATTCAAATCAAATCTAATCATCGTCTTCTCTCCCAAAAAGACCCCAACGATAGATGGTGCTTGGGGTCTTCTTGCTACTATCCGCTGTGTTCTAAAAGATTGTGATTTAATTGTACAGAGAAGTTGCACAATTTTGGGAACGTGTTTGCCCTCTATATCAATGCTCAGTTTATCGGTTGTGTGGGTATGTTGCCAGTCTGTTATTGAAGCGACATTAATATCACCCAGCATCCTTTTACCTACATTTGCACATATTCACAGAAGCAATTTGATATTTGAAATGATAATCCTGAACGAACTAAATCAATACTATGAATGTTTTCAGTCATTCCTGAAAATACGTTTGTTTGCAACTATGAAATCTAAGGAAATGAAATGTTATGGAGACTCCCGTAGTCTCACCACAATAAATGTTAATCTTTGTGTCATTTCACATTTCGTTGGCAAAGTCGCTGTACAGGTACTGAAACTCACGCTCCATCCGGATATTGTTCATTCTTTTGTGAATAATGGAAGAGCACTGAAGCACAACTTCCTGCATTGCCAAGGCATATCTGCCTGTTAACTTGTTTCCTCTATTATCTAAAGTAAAATGTTTGTCGAAAGCAAAAAGTTTTAAAATAACCACTTCAGCCTCAGCTACTGAAAAAATGGCTGTGACTCATTAATTAGAGAATAATCAGTAAACCCCAGGATGAGGTCATCATCAAGTTCAAGCTCTTTATTGCCTCTTCATTTCCTATCTTCCCGCCCATGGCCCCACCTCCCGCCCATAGTCCCACCTCCCCCCCATGGCTCCTCCTCCCGACTATGGCGCTTCGTTCCGCCCATGGCCCTTCTTCCCGGCTTCTAACCATCCTTTTCAGAGGAAATGTCTGTTCTGAAAACTGCGGCAGGACGACGTAAAAATCTTTTATCATCCGCTAACTTTAACTTCTTATTCAGTCTCAGTAGGACAGTGGGCAGTACCATCTGGTGACGTAATGAAGAACAGTCCGGGAGGAGTCGAGTGGTTGTCTGGGTGGAGATCCTGTGATGAGGGGGAGGGGGAGGGAGGGGAGGAATGGTGGGAGGGCGGGATGATCCAAGTGGTAGTCGGAGCACAAACGCTCATCCTGAAGCTCCCCTTTCTCGTTGCATTTCGAGTTTTAGTTTCAATTATGTGTAAGAATATTTACGTTTGTGCGTGTATATATGTGTATATATTCATGTGTATATATATGTATATATATATATGTATATGAGCACGCACACTTATGCAATACATATATATGCAAATATATGTATGTATACACATATGTATATATATATAAATATACATATATTGCATAATGATATATATAATATATGTACATATATATGCATATTGATTGATGTATATGTGTGAATATATATATGCACACACACACACATACACACACACACACACACACACACACATATATATATATATATATATATATATATATATATATATATGCATATTAATACACACACACACACACACACACATATATATGTATATGTAAATATATGCATATATATAATATATATAATATAAATATATGCATACATATACATATAAATATATGCATATGTATATGCGTACATATACATATAAATATATGCATATGTATATATATATATCTATATATATATTTATATATATATATATATATATATATATATATATATATGCATTTTAAAATATATATATATATATATATATGCATATTGATATATATGCATATTGATATAGATATGTGGATATATTTGTATATATACATATATCTACACACGCATACATATACATATAAATATATGCATACATATACATATAAATATATGCATATGTATATGCGTACATATACATATAAATATATGCATATGTATATGCATACATATACATATAAATATATGCATATGTATATGCATACATATACATATAAATATATGTATCCATATACATATAAATATATGCATATATATATATGCATATATATAATATATGTAATATAAATATATGCATACATATACCTAGAAATATATGCATATGTATATGCGTACATATACATATAAATATATGCATATGTATATGCATACATATACATAAATCTGTGTGTATGTATGTTTGTATGCATACATATATGTGTACATATGTATGTATGTGAGTGTGCGTTTTATTCATTAACCTTTGTCCGGAAAATAGGCTCAACACAGAAAACGGTTATCAAGCAGCGCCCAGATTTCATGGAACGAATTTTTAAATTTATTTGTCACGTCTATTTGTGAAGCTCAAATGACTTCTGTTGACGCCGGGATACTTTACTTTTTGTATGAAGGGCTGCATTCCATACAAAAGTACCCTAATAAAAATGTCCTTGTGCAACAAGGTAATATATTATAGTCCATTCCTTCAATTTCTTTTTATTTGTTTTATTTGTTGTGGACATTTGTGGAATTTACAGACACTTTAAGATTTAAGACTCTTCTGCATTTTCTTTCCACGTGGGAGGGGCTAATACTCACAAGTTTCAAATAGTAAAGAAATATTATCAATGTAACATTTTATTGCTATCAACTCACAGGATGCATTTAGGTTCACCAATAATTAAGTATATGCTACAAAGCCAATTACAGAATCTTATAAAAACTGGCTGAAAGTGTGGTTCTGAGAAATCTCCTTTATATCATTAGGCTCCTGAAACTCCGTTTCAGACACAGGCGAGTCTGGCAGAGTGACAGAGAAAAATTCCGTTTCATCACAAACTTCCACGTCAACGTCGTCATCTTGGGTAGAAGCAGAAGCAACACGGGCACGTCGGTTCTCGTGAGTCTTGACGTGCTTGTTCAGGTGATCAGAACGCATGAAACGTTTTCCACACTCCTCACACTGGAAACGTTTTTCACCGGTGTGCGTTCGTAGATGGCGCTGAAGTTCATCGGATCGAGTAAAAGCCTTATTGCAGAAGATCCAGTTGCACACGAAGGGACGTTCTCCACTATGTGAGAGCAGATGTGCCTTCAGGTGAGAAGTCTTGCCATAAACCTTGCCACATCCTGGGACATGACAGATGTGCTCCCTCTTCTTGGTAGCTGAAGTGTCTCTAGAAGTGTCCTGGCAGTTAGGACAACGGCATCGTCGACAACGCCGAACACTGACCGATGACTGAGCGGTGAGGAGAGCGGCGGCGATGTTGGTTTGTTGGTGAAGAATGGCATCCTGAGTGACGGCACCCGGAATGGGCTGAGGAACAGGTGGAGTCATGTGTGCCACGCCACCCAGTCCAAGGCTGTCGTACTGGTGACGGTGAAAGTGGTAGTTGGAAGCAGCATGTGACGGCGGAGTAGCGTAAGGGGCATTGTTCCACCAGATGGATGTGTGCGGCTCCTTCGGGGGCGTGACGGGTTTCTCGGCTGGAGGAGAGAGCATGGGCGGTGCGATGCCGTTGGCGAAGGCGTTGTAGTGATTCTGAAGGTGCGAGTAGGGAGCAGCACTCACGCCATTATAGGTGGGCGTTGTCACGTGTCCAAAATGTGCAGGGCGAGTGTCGGGTGGCGGTGATAAGGGTAAAGCCTGTTGATGGAAGGAAGTGAAGTTGCTTGTGCTGTTGAAAGCGTTGTTGGCACTCATGGCTGACCAGTGAGGAAGCTGAGACTCTGTCAGTGTACCACAGGCAAACATCCTGACAATGCTGATTGTAGTGCTAGCGATGAGCAGCGAAAAGTGATGTGGAATGTCACCTGTGGAAGGTAATATAGGTGGACCGCAAAAGTCGACAGCCAATGAGGACGCGAATTATGACCTCCATCGTAGTTGCCATATCTGTTATTTTGACTAGCATTTTATATTAACAGTTATAGGTTCATTATAACAATTTATATCATATCTCATACTATACCTTATTACTATGCCTTATAACATATTTCCATCATAATTCTGTAATATGCATTTTTATAATCTCTTATTACGCTTTTTCATTACATTTATATTTATTCATATATCTTATATATATTCTCTTATCATCTTGTGATGTTTATTCCTTGAATATCGTATGATATATTTTTTTATGTATCTTTTAAATATTTCTGTTAAATAGTTAATTGATTTTCTTTTTAAAAAGGTAGCATTTTACCAAGGTTGCACTTTATACATGAGAATGGGGTTGATTGTTGATACAATAATGTAATATTAATATGATAATTTGTATTATATAATTGAGAATAACAGGTTTAATTTAAAAAAAAAAAGTAAAAAGGAAAATTTCAGCGACATCTACCACGAAATTCCTCAGTTCGGTTGAATAATGTTGGAACGAAGCACCCATTAAGGGGGATACTCTCGAAGCTCCTTTTCCTTTGGTCTTGACTGCAGGAAATTGGTTCCGGGTCATAAATCACGGGGCAATAGAAGAATGACCACGTCATGATTACGGCTTCATTCCAGTTGATTGCCTTCACGCTCGCCGCACCCGCCCCTCGGCCGGCCTCCGTCCCTCCCCCTATTCGTATAAATCTATTCAGATTAAATGGAAAAGAAACCTTTCCATCTTGAATCTCGTATGCGTGAGTGCAGTAACAAGTTCGCGACAAGGTGTGAATTGGTTAGCCAAACATGAAGGTCACCAAAGGTCACCCGTGCTCACGTCCTTTACATAGCGACAAATAATGATTAATGATGTATCATAATTAGCCTGACTTGCTTATCAGGATGTTATGATTATGGCTTCTCATCTCATCACTGGTAACCCCGACCATTCCTTGCAAACATGGGGTAATTTAGAAGCAAACAGAGAGCCTGTCGCAACATAATCCACTGTAACTAATGGAATTGTCAAAATTATTATTATATTATTATCTTTCTCTCTTAATCAAAATATATAACACTTCTTCAAAATTTCACATTTGAAAATCATGAAAGAAGAATTGTTTTCCTGAATATATCCTTGGTGACCTGAAGTGACCTCTCCCGAGGACCACCGATTCACACCTTGTCGCGAACTCGTTCTTGTCGGTAACGTAAACGTTTAGTGTCTGACCTGATTTACAAGTAGTGCTTTCCTTGGCAGATCTGGTGCTTCTGATCTCGAATAATTAACGAGAATAACGCAGGGTCTCTTTACACACTGACCTGCTGATTATGCAATAAATGCCTGCAGTCACATCCATACTCACTATTTCTCTCGCTTTCAAAGATACACACTGGCATTCCCTCAAATCCCACACATGCACAGGCCTCGCACACACAAATTCCACAAGCAAGAGGCTAGTGTATTGCGCTTCTGGATAGTTTATTATTATCGACACTAATATTTACAATGAAGCTGCAGTTACATCGGTTACTAACTGTTACTCATGATAAGATACTGTATTCATTTTTCAACAGTAAATAACAAAATGTACATTATGGGTCCAATAAATGTCAATTACACAGATGTTTGAACATATTTGTTTCAATAATGAAAGAATAATACACAATCAATTAACGGAGGAAATAAATTAATGGCTATTGTATTACGAGTAATTCAGCAGCCAAGGTCCTATAAATCTTTCAGTTGCATTCAAATCTACTAATGAAAACATCGACACTAAAAGAACAGCACTTCGAAACCCCAACAACAGACGGTGCTGCTAAAGACTTCGTCCACACACACACACACACATATATATATTAGTTCTTGGAATGGGCGCTTTCTTATCTTTTGAAAAGTTTGTTTAGCTAACTATTATATAATGATATTAGAATATGATAATATTTGGGGAACACCTTTGAACTATGTGTTTATTCTCACTTACTGAGTGTATGCTCATGTTTTCAGTGTCTTATTAAAACAACTGTAATCTCACACGGCAACCCACCGCTGATTCCGCATCAAGCGAACGCCTTCGTACAGGACAGCCTTTTCCAACAAGGGCGCATCGCTTCTGCTCTCAACGGGTCTATCGGTGCTCGCCGTTGACGATGCCGCTGTCCCAACTGCCACGACGCCTCACCAAACAGTACAGGCGCCAAGAAGAAGGAACACGTTTGCCGGGATGTGGCAGGCTCTGTGCCTAGACGTCCCACCTGAAGGCACATCTGCTTTCACACACCGGAGAGCGACCTTTCGTATGTCAATGAACTCGCTCCGATGAACTCCAGCGTCACCTTAGAACGGACACGGGCAAAAAAACGTTTCCAGTGTGCACAGTGTGGAAAACGTTTCATGCAATCTGATCACTACAACAAACACGCCAAGACTCACAACCGACGAGCCCATGTTGCTCCTGCTTCTCCTGTCGAAGGCGACGACGTCGGTGTTGAGTTGTGTGATGATATTGTTAATGATTATAGCGTAAACTTTCACTCATTTGCATTGCTACATTTCCCGTATCTGAAGTAGATTCGCAAGTCTGATTTGGACGTCGGTGGTGCGATGCGTAATTGATACTTTTTCGACGGAATTGCCTTTGTATCGCTTTGCCAAAGTAAACCTATAAACACACTGTGAATGCTATACAGATTACACTAAGATGAAATATTTTGAAACTCAGGTTGTAGAGACCATTTGTAATGCATCCTCGGCAAATTGGTAAAAAAACAAGTCGAAGTTAGTAATGAAATACACACACACACACTATATATGCATATCAATGTGCACACTCACATGTCTATTTCTGTGTATATGTATACATTATATATATATTATATATGTGATATTATATTATATATGTGACATTATATTATATATGTGATATTATATTATATATGTGATATTATATCATATATGTGATATTATATTATATATGTGATATTATATCATATATGTGATATTATATCATATATGTGATATTATATTATATATGTGATATTATATTATATATGTGATATTATATTATATATGTGATATTATGTTATATATGTGATATTATATTATATATGTGATATTATATTATATATGTGATATTATATTATATATGTGATATTATATTATATATGTGATATTATATTATATATGTGATATTATATTATATATGTGATATTATATTATATATGTGATATTATATTTATATATATTATATATATATATATATATATATATATATATATATATTATATATGTGATATTATATATATATGTGATATTATATTATATATGTGATATTATATTATATATGTGATATTATATCATATATGTGATATTATGTTATATATGTGATATTATATCATATATGTGATATTATATCATATATGTGATATTATATTATATATGTGATATTATATCATATATGTGATATTATATTATATATGTGATATTATATATATATGTGATATTATGTTATATATGTGATATTATATCATATATGTGATATTATGTTATATATGTGATATATATTATATATATATGTGATATTATGTTATATATGTGATATTATGTTATATATGTGATATTATATATATATGTGATATTATGTTATATATGTGATATTATATCATATATGTGATATATATATATATGTAATATATATATGTGATATATATTATATATGTGATATTATATCATATATGTGATATTATGTTATATATGTGATATTATGTTATATATGTGATATTATGTTATATATGTGATATTATGTTATATATGTGATATTATATCATATATGTGATATTATATCATATATGTGATATTATATTATATATGTGATATATATTATATATGTGATATTATATCATATATGTGATATTATGTTATATATGTGATATATATTATATATGTGATATTATGTTATATATGTGATATTATGTTATATATGTGATATTATGTTATATATGTGATATTATGTTATATATGTGATATTATATTATATATGTGATATTATATTATATATGTGATATTATATCATATATGTGATATTATATCATATATGTGATATTATATTATATATGTGATATTATATATATATATATATTATATATGTGATATTATATCATATATGTGATATTATATTATATAGTGATATTATATTATATAGTGATATTATATTATATAGTGATATTATATTATATATGTGATATATATTATATATGTGATATTATGTTATATATGTGATATATATTATATATATATGTGATATTATATCATATATGTGATATTATGTTATATATGTGATATTATATCATATATGTGATATTATGTTATATATGTGATATTATGTTATATATGTGATATTATATCATATATGTGATATTATATCATATATGTGATATTATGTTATATATGTGATATTATATCATATATGTGATATTATATTATATATGTGATATATATTATATATATATGTGATATTATATCATATATGTGATATTATATCATATATGTGATATTATGTTATATATGTGATATTATATATATATGTGATATTATGTTATATATGTGATATTATGTTATATATGTGATATTATATTATATATGTGATATTATGTTATATATGTGATATTATATATATATGTGATATTATGTTATATATGTGATATTATGTTATATATGTATATATTATGTATATTATATATATATATATATATATATATATATATATATATATATATATATATATATATATATATATATATTATCTAGTGCTAAAAAAATGTCAATAATAATGACAGGAGGCTAATAAGCGACACACTATAGCCACCAGAATTTCAGATTCCTAGATAAAGGTGTGCTGATGATGTTGGCGGATGTGCGGCGCCACAGAGTAGTGGGCGGCATACGAATCAATAACCCTTTCATATTAAGAACGGTTAGTTTCCTGTCTTATTTCGTATCCTAATTTTCATGGTCTATTAAGCTCCCAATAGCGTAATGGGAAGCAGTCCGGGGTGGAGTTGAGTGACTGCCTGGGAGAAATCTGATGAGAGGGGAGAGAGGGGAGAGATGTGTATATATATACATATAAATGTGCATATGCATCTATACACACGCAAACGCATACATACATATATATGTAAGTATGCCATTTTTTTACTGATTTATCCCGTCGCTTTGACTAGGTATCTGTTGGAGTGTAATGGGCCATCTTTATCTTATAAGGCGCATATGAATATTTTAGTAATGAATAGCTGTCACTATATGTAAACCGAATAAGATTAAAAGCATTTGCTAGTCTAAGAATCATATATGTTGACAATAACAAATTCGTGATAATCAACAATTTATCAATAGTAATTTTCGCTTAATCTCTCGAATATTTCCCTTTTTATACCCATTATTCTTTTTCATATCTTGCGCGATCGTGTTTATAGGCAGTGTACGGTGTAAATTAGATTTCTTAGCTGCCATTTGCTACCATAAAAATCTAGAAACTTATCCTTTTCTTGATCAATATTGTTAAAGGTTTCGTTTCAAGTGAAAGAGAATATATAAACCGAGCTATACACACTTTAC